TGGGGCTGGTGACTCAGTTCTGAGGAAAGGTCACCAAACCCAAAACATTGACTTTTTCTTCCACAGATGCTGCCAGACCTGCTGAGCTTTTCCAGCAACTTTGTTTTTGCTCCTGCAATGGATTCTATCTGGTGAGCCAGATGCAATCCACTCAGATAAAGACTAAATGATGCCTTAAAAGGAAGCACAATCTGCAGGTAGAATGAAAAAGGTAACAACAATTTCACCCTACTTAAGCATTCTGCCTGTGCTTAGTGACAACAAGATCAAAAAGATAGTCATTCCTCAGTACTGACGTCTCTTTTCAACACAGAATTCAAGTAATTCTGAAGACTGTGGTTTTGAAGACGTGTAGTGTTTAAGTGCAACTTTGATAATGAATAAACCAAAGGTACTCTAAAATCAGAGCTAACATACATTGCTCCACTGATTTTGTTCATTTCTGTTCAGAGAAGACTGTTGAGCTAAATATTCAATTATACATCCTGACAATTACTTTAAACTTGGTGAAAAATAATACAAAAAGTGAAACCAGGGATACTAACAACTATCAACATTTTGGCACGAACAGAAACCCAGCTAGAGTTTTATTATCCCTCACTGAAGCTTCTCTGGCTGGTTACACATTCCATCACATAGCCCAATGGTGGTAATAAAATTTAAGAGGTCTACAGCACAGAAAAGGCTCTTTGGCCCATTGTGTCTGCCCTGCATCAAAACCAACTATTTAATCCTATTTTCCAGCACTTGACCCATAGATTTGAATGTCTCAACATTACAATGCTAGACTTTGTTTCCCCTCAAATGTTACTGAGAAGTATTGATCAGAATGCCACTAGAACACTGCTCTTTCAATAATGCTACTAACTTGACAAAATCTTGCTCAAGTCTTAACAAATGGATAGCACCTACAACTGTGCAGCAAATATGACTCATCTTTGTACTGAGTACAAAGCTTGAGTATAAGCAAAAAAGGTCAACAGTGAAATGGGATAATATATTTTTCAGACAAAGCCAGCATTTATAAGCAATCATGCAGAACGAACCTGAATTTGGGTATCTAAGAGACTGCTAGCTAGTTAATGCTCAAGAAATTCAAGTCAAGTCAAATTATTCACCTGGTTAGCAAATGGAGATAGCAGAGGAAATAGGTAGGAAGGAATACAAGAAAAAAAAAGTGTATTCGGTTCATTCCTTTCCACAGGGTTCCATTAGTGATATTTGAATCTTCAAATCTGCACTGATTTTGCACTGTTGGTAGACCAGATGAATGTTAAAGCCTCAAAAAAGGTGGACTTGCACCTAAAAAGGACGCGTTGCTTTCAGTTCATGACAGACCAAAGCAAAACCTACAAATCTATGGATGGAAAGCAAATGTCCCTAATAGGAAAGTTTGCCCATGTTTGTTAGAAACAAATCCTAGCATTTCCATAGAATAAAAACTAGAATGATCCTGAAAATTAAATTCTATGGTTCCAAGAGCATAGAGTTCAAATTAATTACATTTAAAAAAGGTCCTTGCTTTCACTGTCACCTTAATTGTAAATAATCATATTCAGTGTTCAGTAAGTGGGGTTTAATAGGCACATGATGAAAGCTTAGAGTGAAGCTGGCTAGGTGCATTAACACCACTGGATTTACAAATGATCAAAAAATATTCAAGCTAGAAAAATATTTACTATAGAACACCATAAACCATTTAGCTTTATATATAGTTTGGTATTAGAAAGTAAGTACTACATTGCAGTGACAAGGTGCAGGGCTGGATGAACACAGCAGGCCAAGCAGCATCATAGGAGCAGAGAGGCTGACGTTTCGGGCCTAGACCCTGAAACGTCAGCCTCTCTGCTCCTATGATGCTGCTTGGCCTGCTGTGTTCATCCAGCCCTGCACCTTGTTGTCTCGGATTCTCCAGCATCTGCAGTTCCTACTATCTCTACTACATTGCAGTGTTACTTAAGTGTGCAAATGGGGACATTCTAATGCCAAAATATGTTTGCACTAGCCATCTCAATTTCTATGATTCCAAGGCTTTAAGCTTTCTAAAATTTCAGATTTATAGATACCCTGCAGTGGAGAAAACAGGCCATTCAGACCAACAAGTCCACACCAACCCTCTGAAGAGCATCCCTCCCAGCCAACCCCCTTCCCTACCAACCCCCCTCCCTATGCCTATAACCCTGCATTTCCCATGACCAATCCACCTAACCTGCACATCTTTGGACAGAGGAAACTGGAGCACCCAGCAGAACCCATGCTTGATTCCATTTTAAAAAAAAAAAAAAAAATCACTGCAAATCAGCTGAGCAAACAATTAAAATTTGCCATTTACCATGTTTAGTCACTGTTTAACCTTCTCCCATTCCAGATTTATCTATTCTGGAAAATTTGCTATCAGTCAAATGGAGGCACCCATTGGGTCATTTCATTTCAAAGCTAGAGACCATGAGGTCTTTCAACTCAAATGTTTCCTTGTGTTGACTTAAGACAGTTCCACAATGGAGTTCTAACTAATACAGTAAGCAGAGAAACCTGTATTGTGGCAAAGAAGAAAGACAAAAATAGAATTTTTCTGGTCAGGATTATGAATATTGCAGAGAACACACAGCAAATTGACTTTACAATTGCTAACTCAATTTATTTTTCTTAAGCTACATTTTCAAATGAGACAGTTTTGCATTGTGACACAAAGAAAAATTAAATTACCAATAGTTTACATGTAAGCTTGATTCCAGTTTGTATCGCAGCATTTTAAGACAACAAAACAAAAAACCCCTCAATGCTTCCAAAAGATTTCTACTCCAAAGCAGGTTCTGCCATTACCTCCCCTAATAATCCTCAATTGTCCACTGCTGTTAGTGTAATTGGTTACAGTACACAAAATTGCAACAAGCTGAAGTAAATACAGCAGTAGGCATCATGGCCATCTCCTGCTTTCATAACTGCATTACATGCCGACAGACAAAAGGGGGTCATTATGATTAGCTGCAGATTGTTAACAGCTCAGTGACAATTGTCTAGTACTGTTGCGGCATTCACAATACATTGTGTAGTTTGTTATTCTGTGCAACTTTACTGAGGTGCAACATATGAACAATAATTGTTTTATGTTGGTTGTTTACTCATTTTTAGTGCTTGACCCACTGTTTCAATCATCCTGCTGAGATCAAGTTAACACCAGTGCTTAATGACACAGCAACTTATGCAGACGTGACAATCAATGCAATTTCATATTCAGCTGTCATGGAAATAACAGTACCCACTGCAACCTCCTGTTCTGATACGGTCAAAGTTCCCTGCTCCAGTAGGAGAAATCAAGTAATTGTGTGCCCTTCACAAAAAAAACAGCAAATAATTAACAGTGCACTCACACTTATAGCAGGATGCTGAACATCACAATAAAAAAAAAGTACCAGTTGGCTACAAGATAATGAATTGGTTGTGTGATCAGCAATTCTCACCAGATGCAGCTGTTGATCACCATACTTTCAGCAGCCAAGCAAATTAACCCACAGTTGATTTTAACCCAATACAAGTTGTCAAACTGCTGCACACTAGCAGCAGGGGAAAAAAGAGTACTTAGTAAAAGAATGCAATGGCACAACTGCTTTAATATTTTCTACCATTCAATTATATCATTTTTCTATACATAATTTCATCTTGTTTGATGTGTGCATTTTAATGTTACCTGAGATGTTAATTACGATTTAAAAATAATTATGCAAATCAACAGGCCAACAGAAGTTTTAGTACCTGTTTTATTAGTAACTAAGTTTTTTTTTTGGAGGGGGGTGGTAGAAAGAAGGATAGGAAAGTGAAAAACTGAAGAGGGAGGAGAGTTAGTGGGAAATCTGTCATAACTGCCATTTGTTTACTGTTGCATTTCCCCAATTTCCCCTTTTGCAGTGAAGGCAGAATCAGTTCAGCACACCAGGAAAACATATCCAGACTACAACACTTAATTTTTTTGCTACATCCAGCTCAACAGCAACATTGAGGATATGCCAACAATATCAATATTTTTATATCAGTTTTTTTTAAAGGTACCTTTTATATGTTCTGATTATTTACAACTGTACAAGCAAAGCACACACTTCCAAGTGCACAAGTTTAATACAGTATTGACTATTTTTGCATTTACAGGGTTTTTAACAATCTGAAAAAAGGATCCAACTTTTAAGATCTTTCATAAATTATATTACAAAAAAATGCTATTTACTGCTAGTTCGCACACATCTGATTTACCCAGTAAGACTAGTGACAGTAGATGTAACTGAGTAACCTTATCTTGCCCAATCCAACCCTCTGGGGTCAGTTATAACAACATCTAAACCTGTCTCATACAAAAGTTAAGGCAAAGTCATTTTCAAGTTTAAAATGAAATTCAAGTTTCTCATTTTGACACTGGATGGAAATTAATTTATAGCATGAAAAGAACACAGTTGTTGAAATAATAATACCCTTTATGGAATAACTTACCCATTTTCTCCTATGACCAGCAAGCTTGTATCTAGTACTGTACTGCCTTGTCTTTTGAGCAGTTACTTTAGTCTGGGTTACTATGACAACTAGCCATAGGTGTTTTTAAAAAGCCAATACTTTCTTCTTGCGTAGCAAAAGAAGAAGCATCCACATATTACCTGCAACTTAGTAGATGGCAGTAGACTCAGTGCACACTTTCTTTTAAAATATATTTCAAAAGGACAACTCAACAACTAATCTAACATTTTCCACAGCAGAGATGAATCACTATTAGAAAAAAACTGGCAATTAGACAAAAAAATGGTGAAAATTCAGGCAAATTCTACTCCAATCTTTAATTCTCACCCCATTTCAAGTACTTTACAATGTACCAATTACAGGAAAGTGCCAGTGTATTGACTGGGAGTTTCTCTTTAAAGAAAAAAGCACTTGGAAATGAACATTAAAAATAAAAACATTGCCACCTACTTTAGAGCACAGAGGTACATAAACCAGTCTTTTGTAGTGATTCATAATCACTATGTTACATGTTAGACAGTAGCCTTACTCTTATTCAAGATCAACTGACTGCTATCAACAGTGCAAAAGTAAACTCTGAAGCATCAAGATCAACAGAAATCTATACAACAGAAAAGGAAAGAAAGACAGCTTGTGTTAAATCTACCATCCAGGTTATGACTCCAATCACTTCCCACTAACACCTAATTAATGGGTTTGAGTTTTTTGTACTTCAAGCCACTACCCTATATTAAAAAAAAATTATATATATGTCAGCATTCACACACTGATCACACTGTGCTAAATAGATGTGTAGAACAGAAAACCACTTGCAACACTGCTCAACACCATGGAAGTAGATCCAACATCCACTGCTCCCCCTTTATTCTTGTGTAATTACAGCAAACAAAATCACACTGAACAAAAAACCACATTCTGGCGCACAGCATAATGTTCGTGCCAGTTTGCTGATCATGGTTCCATTTATTCCCCCACCTTCAAATGGGCAAAGAATTTTCCCAATCCACAACTGAGCAAGAGATTAAGTTACAGTAGACATTACGCAACATTTCACCAAATACTGAAAAGTTGTAGCCTAAGGCAAGTAGTATTACACTCTCTCAACACAAAGTGCATTTGTTGCCTTTAAGCCCTTTTCCAGCAACCCATTATTTCAACAACCTCTGTGCTCTGATTGGAGACTTGGTTGGGGGGGGGGGGGGGGGGGGGTGGGGGGGGGGGGGGGGGGGGGGGGGTGGGGGAGAAGGGATTTACACTTGAACAGACCAGACCTTTTTAAAATCAATGCCACAATTTCAGCACCTTCAGTTGGGTGATTTTGGGGGCGTGTGTTGCTCTTTATTTGTACGCTTGTTGATGCCCTGAGGGGGTGTTCTGCGACCCGATTGTCTTCGCTGGTCTCTAGGCTTCCCTGGGTTTGTCTTTCCAATAGATAGGTCTTTATTTTTAGATTCTTTGTCAACTGGGTTTTCTGGAACTTTTTTGTCATCCTTGTTGCTAGCTGCAGTGTTGGGTTTTTGCTCCTTCTGTGGTTGTAGTGTTAGAGATTCTTTAGCACTTCTCTGGCAAATTTCAGCATAACTCGGCTTTCGAAGTTCCTGTGGAAGACAAATCAAAAATGTATGAAAAGTCTATCTGCATTATTCATGCAAGATTTTTACATGGTTTAAATTCATTAGTGATTAGCATAAGCATGGAGTTCTTCAAAGCATTTCTTGTGTCCAGTTTGGTTCATTAAAAATTGGTCATGGAGTCATACTGCAGAAACAGACCCTTCGGTCCAAATCATGCACATCGACCAGATATCTCAGTCTGAACTAGTCCCATTTGCCAGCAATTGGCCCATATGCCTCTAGTCTGGTCGCCGTTCGAGAGGAAGGAAGCTTTTGGACTTGGGACAGTGCAGAAAAGATTTAATGGGGATGTTGCCAGGGTTGGAGCGTTTGCGTTATAGGGTCAGACTGAATAGGCTGGGGCTTTTTGTTTTAAAAACACCATGGAGCATCGGAAGCTGAGGGGCAACAGTGTGGAGCTTTGTAAGGTCATGACTGGCATGGATGGGGTGAATAGTAGGGTATTTTTCCTAGGGTGTGGGAGTCCAAAGTTAGAAGGCATGGGTTTGAGGTGAGATTTGAAAGGGACCCGAGGGGTAACTTATGGGTGGTGCATGTTGGGAATGATCTGCTGGAAGAGGTGGTGCTGGGTGCAGTTTCAACATCTGGGAGCATTCAGGATGAATGTGTGAATAAGGTTTAGATTTGTTAGCTATTTCTTTCTATATGAAAATTGGAAGATTGGTGAATTGCAATGTTTTAAACATCAAGATCTTGCACTTCAATACCTCAGGATATCCTGAAGTGCTTTTTAAAAAAAAAGTCAAAAGATAACTTTTGAATTGTAGTCACTAATGTCAACAAGCTACAGAAAGGGTCCACAGAAACACTTGCTGGTCTCAAATAGTACCATTAGATTTTCTACTTCCTAACAGGCAGTGTGGACCTTTAGTTCAATTCTTTCTGAAAGAAGGTACCACAGACATTACAGCAGTCCGAGTACTGTAAGAGAATCAACCAAGATTCCTGAACTTGTGTATAATTTAGCTTGTACTCAATTTTGTAGCTCCTGCAAGAGATCACTCAAAAATCAATGCCACCTGCATACAATTTGACAAATTTCAACATTGACAGTTAATTACCTCAACTAGTCAGCTGCAAATAGCAGCAAGGTTAATAAGCATTTTTAAAAAAGAGCCTATACATTTAAAACAGACAAACAGCTAATGCTGATCCCAAATCTGCGTGGAACGCAGTTGCGCATGTCCAAGCAACCAATGCCTCTGCAAATGCTCGATTCCTTCCAGGAAGTTTTCCAAAAGGTGTAAACACTTTGAAGATTGTCTCCCAAAGCAAAAACATTCCAACTCTACAAACAAATCTTAGCAACCTTTATGCCAACTTATGTGGACGAACTCAAGAGGATCCATCTTCTCCATTAAAAAGGTATGCGCTCAGTATATTGAGTATCGTAGAGAAGTTAAGATTTAATGATTTCTTAGGGACACAAGCACTCAACCTCGTAGCAATGGGTTTATGCATGGCTCTGTGCACTGCACGAGTAGAAAGCGGAGATATCAATATTCTGATCTGAATCCATGCCTGTAATTAACATGCAAGTGTTGTGAATATCCATAATATAATCATTAATAACTGTCAAACAAAAATTGCTTAGTTTTTCAGTGAAGAAAAAACAGGTTTTAAAAAGGTCTAAGTTAGAATCCAAGAGTTCCAAACAACATTCAGAAAAATAGTCACGTTACAGTGGTAAGGTGGTACTAATCACTACTTATGACTATCGTGAGGTCAATGACAACAGCCCAAGGCCCCCTAACTGTCACATAAAGGTGTCCACCAGGGCCCAGTTACCAAGTTCTGTGGTGATGGCAACAGGGCTGTGAATCTTAAGTCCCTAATCAAGAATTTACACCTGTACTGAGACAGGTGACTGCACAGCAGCATGTTACTATACATCTTTAGGGTGCCCTCTGCTCACTCCAAAACTGATTATGGGTCAGGTAATTGTTCTTAAAGAGGGGGAATATTGAAGTTGTATTCAACTCCACCCAATCTGATGGTCAGTTTGAGTGGAGAAAATCAAGGGATGCCACACGGTGGGGAAAGAGAGGTGGAGGAGGGACAATCTCTGGGTCCTGATAGCCACAATGACTTAAGACTAAATAGTCAATGTAAACTGTACCTACTATAATTATGCAATATCCCCTTGCTGTACAAAATGAGTGCTTAGTCTTATCGAAAACCACCACTAATAGTTAGACAGGCCCTCAGACTCAGCACAGAAAGCAAGGTCAATGACAGCACTGTATTTAACCATCCAGAATCCAAATCCAAGCTGTCTCACTTTTTCCACAGCTGGGAACCTCACTACACAGGTCACAAAGCCCCAAAAAGGAAGATCAATATTTCAGCCCTAAACTAGAAAGGAATCCCAAATGCAGCTCAAATCTGGAGAATCTTCACACAGCCAACTCAACTGCAAAGCAATGGAAGAAAAAGGCAGCTAAAATTCTGTGCACAAATCAGGTTTAAGCATCAGTTACTAGGATCAGTAAGTGAAAAGTACACCGAAATACATTTTTCCTGGAATAAAAAGGAGCCTTCATTGACTGGTAGAATGACCGAAGGTCACAAACGAAGGTAGCAGCATTCCAACAGCTCATGGTAACACCCAAAGGCAAATTTGGAAGACAAAGCCCAAGAGATGCAACAATATGCGGACCGAAACAGAAGCTTTATGAAACCAAACAGGAACAGTTCAAATTGACAAAATCCATTTCACACTCAGGACAACATTTGCAATGCCTCAGAACACTAATTCCAACTACTCAGCCATGGCAGTGGTAAGATACTCTCCAGGATAACCACCTGTACATTGTAGTGGAAAATGTGTGCAAATGATCAACAAGAGAGCTGCAAACAACTAAAAGATCTAAATAAGACATTTGATTCCAAACATTTTATGCTGAGGACTTGAACACTGATACATCTTAGCTCACACAAAATTCCAATAAGTAAATATTCTCCTGAATCACCTTTGTGCAACTGAGGCAATCCTCCCAGCATTAATGTGGCTTTAGGCCTTCCATGGAAAGGCTTTAACATGGATTGTTTTTTCCCTTCACCTTCCTTGACTATTTAAGAATTAGCAAAACAGAACTGAGGGGTGGCGGTCAAGAAATGAACACCTGACAACCAACCCAAAAGTATCAGTCCCACATAGTTGGATCTGGAGGTATTTTGTTTGAATGCTTGCAGAACTGGAATCAAGGACACCAGTGTTTTGTAATCCTCAATGATTCAGTAGAAAGGGTCAAGCAAAAAACTGCTGGATTTTCAGGCTCTTACATGCTAACTAAGGGGTAATTTTTGTATAGGGAATGTGAATAGCCAGCATTTATTCTCCTGGGATGGAGAGGCTTGCTTGGACATTCAGTGGGCTGTCAACAGTAACCACATTGCTGTGGATTTGCAGGCCATACCTGGCACATTAGAATACTGTCTTTAAAGGAAAAATGTGGAGGTACCAGTGTTGGACTGGGATGGACAAGGTCAGGAATCAGATGACATCTGGTTGGTCCAACAGGTTTGTTTCAAATCACAAGCTTTGAGCATTGCCTGTTTGTCAGGTGAGGAAAGCAGCGCACAGGCACAGAATTTGTATCATCTTTTGATCTCTCTGGCTATAAGTGGTGAGAGTGTTGAATAAGTCCCTGCAGGTGATCCAAAGTGTTAGATGGTGAGTGTAAAAGAAGTGCCAACAGGTGAATAACAAGCAAACGAATGACATGCAATCTGGTTAAATGAGGCAGGGATAATCACAAAAAAAAAATTAAAAATAAGCTGGAGACAAACCAGATGACTAGAATAACATAATAGGTATTAGGGCTGTAGGCAAAGGGCCTAACCAAAGTAATAGGTAATCCAAAACTCTACAAACTAGAGATCATAATTTATCAAGGTGATGGTGTCAAAACAGGAGAGTAAGGCAGATTTTACAGGAAAAGGTGGTGGGGTCACACATGGCACGACATGAACCCAAGATCGTGGTTGACGCCATCTTCACTCCTCAGGCCTCCCGGTTGAGTGATACTTCAGTGATCAAGGACATTTAGCTTTCAATCTTCAATTAAGCATTCTCCAAGATGGCCTTTGAGGTACACAATGCAGAATCGCTGAGCAGAAACTGACAGCCAAGTTCTATATCCAAGACAATGGCTTCAACCGTGATCTTGGCTTCATGTTGTGCTACATTGTTCTGTATTTGCAAAATCTTGCTTACTGTCCTGCTTTGACACCATCACCCTATAAATTATGATCCCTATTTTAGTTTGTAGAGTTCTGGATTACCTATTATCTTCTTTAGGCCATCGGCATACAACTCTAATACCTAATATGTTATTCCTGTCATTTGGTTTATCTGCAGTGTTTCCTTATTTTTAATTTTTTTTTTTTTTTTAGTAATTATCTCTGCTCATTTAATCAGATTACAGGTCATCCTTTGCTTATTATTCAACTGTCGACACTTTACTTACCGTCCAAAAGTCTTGAGCAGCTGTAGGGACCTATTATTCAGGCTGTCAACACTCCACTCACCATTTGTATAATTTTTGATCTCTTTTCTGCCTATAAATTCTGTGCCTATATGGATTTCTCACTTCAGCTAACAAAGGGGCAACGCTGAGAGCTTGTGATTTCAAATATAGTTGAAGTATAACCTGGTGCTGTACAAATTCTGACTTTTAAAAAGGAAGGCAATGAATCAAATGGGGTTTTAGGACAATTAATAGGCAATTAGAGTTTGAGGCTAGCCTTTTTAATTCCAGATTGGTCAAAAAAATGTCATAATTGCCATTGCAGACGGTGAACCTGTGTTCTTAAAAACATCAGCCTGGGGTTCTGCATCACTTGCCAAATAATATAACCACAGCACCAACATCTCCATGTGTGGTGATGACAACAATCTATACGCTAGCAATTAGCTGACAATTACTTGAGGCACAATTTGTCAAATGTTGAGCTGCTGA